TTAGGACATAATATGTTAAGATCCTATAGCCAGAAAAAGACTAATTCTGAATTAATCCACGATAGAATAAAGGTCTCTGCATTGAACATTACTGATCAAAATCTATCATGCTGACCCCCTCTGAGTTGATAAATGTTTATCAACTTTCCAGTTGAGGACCTAAATCTAGTCACCTAGCTTGCTTCTAATTTAGGTGGCCTAATTTACTGCAGATAAATAACTGGTAACAGCTAAAAAAAATAATTGTGCAATTAGGGCTCAGGGGGCTATAAAGATCATCTAAGGCCTAGAGCTAGGCCAATCCTTAAGAGTCAATACAATACAGACATTGACCTCACAGCATTTTTGATAGATGGATTACCAGCAAGGGACAGGTGACCATCCAAAGCAGTCTGTTAAAAAACTCATACTGTTAATTCTTCCTTTTGACCCCCTACAGTTTACCAATATTCTTCTGAAAATACAATACTCAGAACTGTATGTTCTATTCCAGGTGGTCTGATTAATACAAAAAGAGGAACAATGGCATCTTTTCATTTGGTTTCTTTCATTATAGTATATTGATGTAGGCTAAGATTAAATTTGGCATTTATTTTGCAGCTCTACTACACTACTGGTTCATATTCATCTTGTGATCCACCAAAATATCCAAACCTTTCTGATGTACTGCTGCCTAATATGCTTTTTATTCTAAAATTGTGTCTTTGATTTTTTTTATCCCATATGTAGGATTTTGCATTTGTCCCTTGAAATTAGATGTGCCATTGTCTAGAGGCTGCTTTCTATCCATTGTTAGTGTTCAAAAATTATTCTGAATTAGTCTGAATTAGTCTTTTGAGCTATTTGCTTTCTCACTTATCTTAGTATCTTCTGTAAATTTGATACTTAGTATCTTCTGTAAATTTGATACTTAATTCCCTGTGCAAGTCATTTTTTAGCATGTTGAATAGCTCAGGACCTAAAACAGAAATTTGTCAGAATAAATTCAGGCCTAGCCTTTTTGAAATGTTTCCTTCTCCTAATGCCTCACCTGGGGTGGGCTGCCTATCCTTATACAAACTGAACTCATACCTGTTCCTAACAGTCTTTTACTTAGGTGACTTCCATGGGATCTAGAAGTAGTGCAGCTCTCCGGATTCTGATATCTCAATATGCAATACCATTGCCATAGTTTCTGGTAACCTGCAAGGTGGGGAGCTGGAGGCACTGTTTTACAGTGGTTTTGTTCCTTCCACAGCAGGCTAAAATAATTATATTAACAGAAGAGTAATTTAGTATGTCACTGCTCTCCTATGGAGTGCCACAGGGTTTGTATTCTGTTCTATTTTATTTAACATTTATATGAAACTCAGGGAAAGGAAATCTACTGATTTGGAATTAATATATGCTGATATTACTCAACTACGTGTCTCTACTGTAACTGGGCAGAAAATACTATGTACATTCTAAACTTAGAAGTTGTACACATTTGGATGGGATAGAACAGACTGAAATGGAATATACCAAGACAGAATGGTCATTTGTTTGGACATTAAGTGATTCTCTGGCAGCTTGTGCCAACTCTGGATGTAGTTGTAGTCTCCTGAAAAAGTAAGCTCGAGAGGTCAGAACTTGCTAGAGGGTAGGGGCTTTGCCCAGCTTTGACTGTAAATTGTATCTCTAGCTAGAGCAGATAGTCTTATTGACAGTCACTCACATCCTTATTGTTGGAATGAGTACTTGGGGATTAAAAGCATCTGCATGGATTGGTTTTTAACCCTCGTATGTTTATTTTTATATTGTTATTTACAATGGTAAATGTAATAAGTTTCATCTGGATGTCAGCCACCCAGAGTTTCGGGAGCTGGGAGGATATAAATTTTAATAATGATTGGTATTAATAGTGCCTGGTCCAAGTACTGAAATATTTAAAATGTTGAAATCTATAAAATCTATTTCTATTTGTGTCATTTATACATATGAATTGACTCAAATTGTATATGTGACAATCTGGGATAAGTAAAGAAAGGGTTTGAGGCAGTTTATCTGTATAAGAGGTTTCTGTGGGTCTTATCTCAGAGCTGTAGAGTTATTTTTATAATTGCAAATGTTTGTATATATTTTTTGACATTTTGGTTCTTCCAGTAAACTTTTCATTATGGATTTTAAATGTTTTTTTTAAATAAACAGACAATTACTGAGAGGAAACAGCTGTTCTTCCTATTTTTTCAATCCTTGGTGGAAAGGTTTAAAGTCTGTTTTCTACCACCACCTGATGGCATTCTTGTGAATGCTAAGTTTTATTGTTGACTACAGTATAAACAGCATGTTGGGTACCTATTATCTGCCAGCACACAAAACCAAACTGTGACACGAGGTCAACAGACACCAGTGATCAGGTCCACAAAACCTGAGAGTAAAACAGCCAAAGCCCTACCTTATGGTTTACAAACACAATGGCTTAATTCATATAACATGCTAGCAGCTAGACAATAGACCAGAGGTCTCCAAACTTGGCAATTTTAAGACTTCAACTCGCAGAATTCCTCAGCCTGCACATTATGTTGAAATTAATATTTTCAGAGCCTGGTCTTATGCCACAAAAGTTACTATTTCTGTTATTATCCAAACATCCAATCATTTGTTACTTGGCAACAGCCTTTCCTTATAACATTGTAGAAATTTCACTTAACATGCCAACAATTTTATTACAATTTTCTAATTAAAGATTACTATGAGCATTATCTTAACTTCTATTGAAGCACAAATACAATACACCAATATGTAATCAATAAATAATCCCTTTTCCATGATGGGTCTTTAAATCTGTGGCAAACAATGCAAATGTAGTTGTGCATTATAATATAAAAAAATGTGTCTACAGGTGCAGCTCTTTATTTTTTTTGCAGTTCACTAAAATAACGATTGCATTTAGGAGGCATTTCTATTATAGCAAGTTGTATGAACAGAATTGCAGAGGTTTTTTGTACAAAGAAAAACAAATTTAAAAGTATCACTATACTGTTCAGAGTATTTTTGACTTTATGTGCCAAAAGTTGTTTTTAGCTCCTAGTGACCACATAGATTTTTTCCATGATGATCTATCCTTGTTTTTTCAAGTCTCTCACTGGTACATTCATTGCCACAGTAAGTCCTTGTTGCTGGTTGTCCTTTTTCCGTCTTTCTGTAGAGTCTTTTCCAGAGAATCTGGGTCTTTGCATAATATGTCTGAAGTAAGATAAATAGAGCTGGTCATTTGTGTCTTGAGAGGGAACTCTGGGCTGATCTGGTTTTCCTTCTTGGCTGCCAATAATATTTTCTAGGAGTCTTTTCCAATATTGATGTTCAAATGGATTAATACTTTTCCAATAAACCCTCAAGTGACCTCAAGAACTCTGAGTGTGCTAACTACCAGATTACTGCAAAGAAATATGATCCTTTCAACCCTCCCCCCGCCCCCATCCTGTCAGAACTAATCCTTCCATCATCCCACCATCCTGCCAGAACCAATGAAGCTTCTTGGATGAGAAGTGAAACATCTTCCTCAAGGAAAAAACAGTCCACATCACAGTATGAAAGTCTTTTCCAAGATCTTCACAGTTGCTCTGCTGAATGCTAGACTGCAGCATATTTCTTGACTGCTTGTTCTTTTACTGTTGATAGTAAAAGCCAGAACTACTTGGATATTTTCATTGTCAACTCTAATTTCAATTCTAATTGAATTCTAATAACCTTGACCACAGGACTTGTTAAAAACAGTTTTGCCTAGATGACTGTAGCTTGCATTAATTCATTATCTTAATAGCAAATACCTATTTTCAAAGAAGCAGCTTTACACAAGGCGCAGGGAGCATAAATGGAGTAATCCAAATGTCTTTTCTTTTAATCTTTTCTTTCATTCCATCAGGAGGTGCGTCCAACAGCCTGCCCATAAGTGACAGAAAACCCAGGCACTTTGATGACAGCCTGGTTACTTAAAACCGTTTTTGTGGCTTCCTGCGCTGCCCACTGGACCCAAAATACTTGCGCAAGTTCAACGAGCAAGGAAATGTGGGAGGCGGGTTCCTCTCCTGCAACTAAAGCCACCGTCGCCGTCGTTTCCTACCTTACTCCCCCTTTTGTTCTTGTTATTCTTTCTGGAGAAGCTCTTGGGAATCGGGACTGCTTTCTGGTTTGTCAGAAAGGGCCTGAATTCCTTTCCCAAAATACCAACTGCCCTTTTACCTTCTATAAGGATAAAACTTACGGTTGATAATTTTGTGTCTTTCCCAAAATCGGGACGTTGCTGGTCCCAAACAAGCAAAGCACATTATGGTTTACCTACATTGTTTGTGACTTCAGTCATAACAGGAGAAGCTTGTGTTTCCCTTAGTATGAGATAATTTGAAAAATATTTGAACAAATTTGCTTAACGCATAATAAGTTTTAAGTTTTCAACAACCTCATCATGAAATCAATCTTGACGATTGTAGGAACCCTGACTGGAAATGCTCTGGTAGTTTCCAGTACGCAACCTTACATTTACGTTACTCTTCTGTGACTGGAGCTTTTCAGCTAAGACGCCATAACCAACGGCTAACTTTAGCAGAGGCAAACAGCCGAAGCATGCTCAGGCCGCAGCCAATTCCAGGAACTCTAGCCTCAGCTTGCCAGTACCGCGAGCAAGAAATCCAACTCTTATAGGCTGAGGGCCAGAGGCTTTTAACCAATAGGAGGTGAGCCTTTCCGGGGAGCCCATCCGCTGGTGTGACCCTTCACGCCCTTCGGATTGTGTCGCTGCCTCTGATTGGCTTGCTGAGCTTGATAGGCGGATACGGCCTCCGCTTTTCCGAAGCTTTATACTGAGAAGTGAAGCTTAGGCACAGCCGGATCTCTCTTGCGAGGAAGTGCGGGCGGCCACAGGAGGGTCGAGCTGAACCGAGCCGCTGGGAAAGCTCCGCCCCTTCTCCTGATTTGAGATTGGGGTGAGTGTGGAGCGGAGCAGGATCGAGGTGAGGCTTTGGTATCTGGTAGGTCTCCATGATCTGGTCCAGGGAATCGGTGTCTTCCTTCCCCCATGAAGCAAACTTCTCCAACCTTGAACCCTCTAGATGCCATGAATTCCTATAGTTCTCGCCAGCGCGGCAAGGACGTGTTGGATGCGGTGCTGGCAGTTTTAATTCAGTGCATCTGGACAGCGCCAGGTGGGAAAATATGCAATGTGGGAACGTTTGCTTCGTCGGATCGGCGTGCTTGGTTTTTCAGAGCTCTATACGATTGAAGTTGTGGGTTTTGTGGTTTCCTTCCTGAAAAGATGCCCATGCCGGTGAAGGGGAAATGCGGTTGATAAGGCTTGCAGGCTCTGGATCTTTTTGTATCTGGTAGTTATTAATCACAGATCATCTATGACTAAATTGAAAACTTTCTTCATTTCTGGAAAAGGATTTAGGGTCCTTTTTGTTATGTATATTGAGATAATGAAAGATGTCATGAGGTTTTTGTGTGTGTCTGTTTTGATGCAATTTGTTCAGGTAATAGAATTGCCCAGTTAGACTATAATGCAGAATGTGATTTGGTCTTTTTTTCTTCCACAGATGCACCTCTCCACTTTCGATAAAGAGTATAGGTTAAGGAATTGTTAGCTCTTGTCAGCATATTGGTTGAATACACGGGTTATTTTCCTTCCAGCTTTCCCCTCTGTGTAATCAATATTTATTTATTTATTTATTTATTTGATTTGCCAATTGTTTACAAGATAATAAGTATAAGCGTATACATAGTTGTGAATACATGAAATGGGTACATATAAGAAAAATAAAATTTATGAAGAGAGATTTTGTTCATAAAGAAATGATAATTGGAGTAAATTAATAAATGTAAATATAATGATTTTATGCATTTATTTTTGTTTGCAATGCACTTTCCATTGGATTTTCATGCAACTTCTTCATGCAAACTCCATTTGTTCATTATTGTCTGAATCGGAAATATAATTTTCTGTAGCCTTAGAGGTATGCAGCCCATGGATTAATGGCAATTTATGTTTCACTTCAGTGGCACAGAAATGAAATGTGTTGCTAGTTTATTTTGTTGTTTGCTTATTAATTTTTGTATTTACAACTTCCACTATTTAACAAGCTTTGAATTTTAGGTTTTAATAAATGTTATGTTTCAAAACAGTGTTATTTCAGAAATGATTAACTTTGTTCCCCTTAATTTTCCCTTCAGGGAAATAAATAAAAAATTAAGTTAAATCACAAATGCATATTTACAGCATGCAGGTATCAGAACGTGATGGTGGAGTGTCCACAGGGAATGGATTAGACGCTGCCACAGCATCTGATGCCCAGCAAGTTTCGCCCTCTCACCCTAAGCCTCCTTCCTTGGACCTCTTTAATCTGGTGGTATCCTATAAGCAACTAGAGCTGTACCTGGAACCACTGCAGGATGTTGCTGAAGGAGTGTGGTTCCTCCTCAGGTTAGTGCTTTTATATATAGCTACTTTTTCAGGTCATAGTTCAACAGAATCTTTGCCTGTTGTCATAATAAATTCTTTTTATAAGACTTGCCTTTTCTAGTGGGAAAAAGAGAAAGCTTTTTTGGTCTAAATGTTTAAATCAAAGGATGTACAACTTCTTATGGTCATTATGGTCATTTTGTCCTATTGTTCTGGTGTTCATTTCATTTTAAGACCATAGAAAGAAGCTTTGTTAGACCATAGAAAGGCTTATCTAACTTAGCATTCTTTCCCACACTAGACTTCTATGCAAGTACACTTCTTTAGGATCATAATTGCTGTGATTCTGTGATTGCATGCAACTCCTTTTCTTAGCTCTTAGGATCCTTTTCACATTGCTTTTAAGCTATGATGAAACATCAACTCCTGCCCTACTGATGTTGGAAATAGAATGGATTTTTAACATAAGGTGTTATGTAGGCTTCACATGTACTTTAAAAAAGAATTTTGGATTGGTTCAAATCCCAGGGAAAAAATGATACTAGATCCTTTCTAATTCTTTATGCAGCCTCCTTTATTCACTTTTCCTCAGTGGCCTTCCTAATTAATAACTAATAAATAGCATCCTTTTGAGATTGTAAATGTTTGATTGCTTCTCCACAGCTGGCAGATGCCCTTCTGCTCTCTCCTTACTTGTTTGGGTGTCAACTTTCTGCTGCTTACTCTGAGTGAAGGTGAGAAGTGTTGGATGGATATGCTGGGCAATTCTAGGGCCTGTTTTCCCATAAATCATGAGACGTGATTGAATTAATGGGAGGAGAGTAGAATATGATTTTGTTCAGGACTAGCAGGAGCTTGTCATCATGTAAGGTGGGAAAATTGCACTGACAGCTGGTACTGAAACTTCCTTTGATAAGGCCGTATGTTAGGGGGACAATAAAACCACTGCTGATTAGATAAGATGTGGGTGGCTTAATAAACTCTGCATCTATTCCATCTTGCATTGTAGCTGCTTGGTATGGGCTGTGTGCCCTGCTCATCTCAGTGCCTGCCATGCTCGGCTATCTACAGGAAACATGCCACATCCGTCTTACTGAAGAGCAGCTGGCACGCCGTAGGTATCACAGTGTGCGGAGAGAAGATGTGAGAAAAGTTCAACTTTCTCGAAATGAGGCTGTGGCTGAAGTTAAGGGCTTGTAAGTCTGGGAGAGATGGGGTTGGGCATTGTTTGAGCATGGAATTGAAGGGTTGTTGCTTGATATATGTTGAGCTAATAAGGCTGGAGAGGGGAATGTTTTTGTACTGGCTTGAGCTTCTTATTAGGAAATGCTATAGGCCGGGGCTGTCAAACTCGTGGCTGACGTGCTGGATGTGTCATGCATTGGCCACACCCATGCCTGGTTTAGCGAAGGGGGGAAAAGTCCCGATACGTCACATGACTCTGCCGTGATGACGTGAGTTTGACACCCCTGCTATAGGCTGAGTCCACTATAGTAACTTTTTAATTTTTTAAATGTTTTTTGAGGAGTTGCGAATCTAGAAGGTTGTGCATTGGGCCTATTTGTGGCAGTGCAACCTCATCTAGTACCAAATGTGGCAAAATCGTAGAATCAGAAGGCCCCAAAGCCACTCAGTCTTGCCAGGGTTTAGTCAGAGCCTGTTCTTCCCCATCCAGGCCCCCACAGGATAAGGTATCAACAACGTCACTTAATTCATCATCATGGGCAGAGATGTATAATGGGGCATCATCAACATACTGAAGATACTTCACCATTTGATAACAGAGATTTCACTCAACAGCTTCATGTAGAAGTTAAATAGGGTACCGAAACGCACAGCATCACACGAGGAAGTTGAGATCACTCATTTCCAATCAACATGACTGGAAGCAACCCTGAAGAAAGGAGGAGAACCACCAAAATACAATGTTGCCCATTCCCAATTCCTGGAGGGTATCTAGAAGGATACCATATATTGAAAGTCACTGATGGGTCAAGTACAGCAAGGACAGGTGCACAACCCAATTTCACCAGAGATGATCTAAAAGTGTGACTAATGCCATCTCCATCCCATGTTCAGGCCTGCACCCTAACTGAAAGGGATGTGGATAATCCCTTCATCCAGGCCCCTCTAAAGTGACTTCATGTCTGCCTTCTTTACCACTTTTCCTCAAAAGGGGAACTTAGATATTCAACAAACACTAGTGGGATCCAGTGATGGCTTTTTGAGGAGAGGGTGAACCAGCACTTCCTGAAGAGGTGGAGGAGCAGCCTTCTCACTCAAGGAAAAATTAACCACATTATGAACCGCCCTATATGTGTATGTTTGTATTTATTGCAGGGTGGAGAAGACACATTGGTGTTCCACCCCCAATCTATCCCTTATTCCAATAAATTCACTCTTTTAATGGCACAATTTAGAGGCCAACCGTTGCATTTGCATTACATTTGAGAGGTTACTGACTGATTGGCTGGCTGGTTTATATGCTATTCCAGGCTTCCAAGTTCCAAGAGTTTGGGAAGGGACTGCTTGTGTTTGAAGAAAACTAATATGACATCACAAATGCCACATGACTTGCCGTTGATCCCACACTTCACTGTTTGTGATATGATGTAAACAAGAGTTGTGCAATATTGAATGTAACCCAATAGTGATGCATGTGTGGAGAATTTCTCTCTTAAGAAACATTGGACGATCATTACATGTTTACTTGCACTGCTGCTCTGAGGATTCCCCCCATAGATTAGCATTACATCATTTCACCCACTGGGGATATCATATATCATTACTTTGACTTTGTAACTCTATACAGGATGGAGAGTTATCGGGAATATAAGTGATTTCATTGTCCACTTCACAAAAGTATGAAATGATAGTCTAGAATAGTGGATTGATTTCAGTTACTAAAGAAGACACATTTTTAAATCATTGATTTAATAAACTTTTTGATATGTTTAGAATATACAGCAGTTACTATAGCTTTAGCACATTGATTGACTTTCATATGATTGCATAGTTGTATTAGAGATTTTAGCTTTTATCTTGTCTTTCTTGAGCTTGTTCATACTATCTTTTAATGATCCTTATTTTCACTTCCCCCTCCCCCTCAGTATATAGTATAAGACATGTGCTAGATCAGAATAAGACCATGCCCAATGTTGTGTTCCCACAATGATTGGGGAGAAATTCACAATTAGGATAGGAGAGCAGTAGAGGTAATTCATAGCCATGATGGCTAGTAGAGGTTGGCAAGATACATGCTTTTGCCGGTGCAGTAGGTCAGGACGTTTCTTAGATAAGGAACTAATTTGGCCAAGTGTCAGCATTATCACCTTGCCAAATACATAATTTGTGCTGTGAAATCAATAAAAATGCATCTTTAAGTACTTTGCATGGTATACTTTATTTATGCACATTTCTTCTCTAAATACCAACTGCCCTTTTACTTTCTATAATGATAAAACTTATGTTTGATAATTTTGTGTCTTTCTTTGAATAGAGCGGCTTTAAGTGTACATTTTAGTCATACTGCATACACTTATTTACAAGTATCTGAATTATTTACATTTGAGTAGGCATGGGCAGAATGAAATTGTTGGCTTCAAAGAGGTTCTGCAAAGTTGCTTGCCACTGTTACCTCTAAAGAATTTCTGCTTACGGCAGATGCTTGTTCAGGATTGCCCAATAAAATGTCATGGTTCAGCAGGGATTCAGCAATCCGGGTCTCCCATATTTGGAATACATCACATGTTGTAATGGATCATGCTGACTCTCATCTAGTCTGGGAAACTGATACAGTTGCTTTTTGCCTCCATCTCTGCCTGCCAATCTAGGGCTAGCTGGCTTAAGAAGCTCCTGCAGGTCTCCCCCAACTCATGATGGGTGAGCTTAGCATGTCATAATTGATATTTTACTCACCCAATTACTAATCCAGTGTTACAAATTTGGACAAAAGTTCTGAACGCATAAATAATCTGCAAATTTCTGCATCCGGTTTTCACTGGCATGTGCAATATATTCATCCCCATCCAGCAGGTCACAAGATAGAGTCTTGTGACAGCACATTTTTCTATCCTGTTACAACACATGCCTTGTTTCATAGCATCTGGCATTGAAGCATGTACAAAAGTAGGAGAAATATGATACCTAGGCATGCTAAATGCACATGTGGCAAAAGAATGTATTAACTTATCCCATCTTGATTTGAGTTACAAAAGTATTGTTTTTTTCTGGAATGCTTGGAACTTGTGCTTTAAAAAAAATAAAAATTTGTTAGAGCTGACTAAATTTAAATTTTGGTGGCAACATTAATCCTAGCTTCTATGTGTGGACAAGGGGTTTGCTTTCTGAGTGTTACTGATTTCTAGGATTACCCTGGAATAAATAAAGGGCTGAGGAAAGTTTTATTTGTGAGGTTAGGTTGTTGAAGTCTCTATGTTGCAGTCACTGACTACAGTCACTGTCTGTCTGTGAGCTAGACACCACAGTTATATTTAAATTTTTTGTCTTGTCTTTTCAGCCTGATCCGATTAGAAGCGCTCCTGAACAGGCTGTGTGGTGGCTGTGAGGCAGCTTACCGTGTCTTGTTCTGGGAGAACCCTACTGTCTCCTCCCAGTAAGTATTGGCTTAGGACAATGGTGGGCAACCCTTTCAGCTCAGAACAAGCTGTACATTTGTTTGCTTTTGCTTCCTCCCTGAGATAAGTTGTTTTGAGCTGTTTTTCCTTGAGTCTTCTTTTCCTCAGTCTAAATACATCATCTTGAAGTTCATCACCAAATTGTGGTTTAGCGGTTGAAGCTATGGGGAAGAAAAGGCTGGGAGTTCTTCATGAAAATTGATACGTCACTGCTGGTCTTGCTTTTCTTAGAAGTTGAATATAGACTCAGGCAAATCAGAATATGCATATGATTAGATATAATTGGGTAGAACCTTTCATTTCATTGGATATAACACATTGTTTGCCTGCTGAGGCCTGCAAGGCTGTTAAGTGTAATTATGAGACAATGGGCGAGGACTATAAAGAAAAAGAGGCAGTGTTTCAAGAACATAGCTTACTTCCAGGAAAATTACTTCTGCTTTTCTGGAGCTCTGCTTACCAGCCAGAATCTTTTCCTAGCTTTTTGGCACTCTCTGGCATTCAAAATATTCTCAAATATATAACTTCAACTATTCCCTTCCATCTCAGAAATTAGGGTTTTTTTATATTCTTTGTACATGCACATAAAATTAGTAACATTTTAAAAAGTGATACAGCTGTCTAATTAATAAGCAACTCCCTATATTGGCAGTTGATGGTAATAATTTAAAAATAAAGTTCATTTACGCAAAAAGGCTCAAAAGCAAGTTACAAATATGATCTAAATTTGACATTACATAAAACAATTTAACAAATAAAATATTTAATATTAATGAAGGTAATCCTTGACTTATCATTGTTTAATGCATTTGGAGTTATGAAAGCTTGGTTTATAATTAATAAAGTACTTCCAGTTGTCATAAAATGTCAAATTGCCCCCCTCAAGGTCATATGATCGCATTTCATGTGCTTGGCAACTGGCTCACATTTATAACTGCAAATCCTTTGGTCACATAGCTGTGATTTATAATGTTTTTTTTGCTAGTTCCCACCATTTTCTACTAATTTCCTGTAAAAAAATACTTATTGGGGGAATGGATTTGGACTTAATGACCCTGTGATTTGCTTAACATCTATCATAAAAATGGTTGCAAAATCAGATTTGTTCATGTGGTTGTCTATTTCATGGTTTATGACCAAAATTCTAGCCCCGATTGTGGAGGTAAGTCAACACACAATTAAAAAAATAAAACACACACACAAATATGTCTAACCTTGTTTTTAAAGCCATAGTTAAAAATCTGGCCATTTCACTCAACTCAGCCACATACAAATTTCCTTTGCCTATGTTTATTTCATTAAACATAAAATATATATAAATTTACCAACATTTCTGAAATCAAGAGTGAGAAAAAACAACACAAGAGAGGGAAAGTGACTCCCAAAATGCATGATCATTTTACACTTGAGCAATATTGTTAAAACAAATTAGATTTTAAAAAGTTTTATTAGTATGCTAATTCAAAGGAAAGGGAAAGTTAGGTCTGTGGAACTAGTATATCCCCTGGATGCAGCAAGATCAGGGAAAACAGATGAAAGCAATGCAGAGAAGTATTTGTAAAGGAGGAAGTAACCAGTTTGACACCACACAGTGAAGCCAATGTTTTCATTTTCCCTGGGAAGTTGTATTTGAGTTAAGGAGTTTTTAACTTGCCTTCCCCCTCTGTCCCCCACTTCTCAGTTACTGGTATCTCAGTGTCATCCTGTTGTGCAGGTATGTTATGTGTCTTCTGCTCCATTTTTGTCCTCTACTCCTAGGTTTTATGGGATGCTGATGGGTTCAGTTTGTGCCGTTTACCTGCTGCCCCTCTGCTGGATCTTTGTTCTTCTTAATAGTACCCTTTTCTTGGGCAATGTGGCATTTTATCAAGGTAAGTTATCAAACAATTATAACACACTTTCTATAAGGCAGCCTTTGACTTGAAAGCTTCATCTAGACCACGGGTGTCAAACTTGCAACGTCATGTTGCGGTCACGTGATGTTTCACAATGTTTTTTCCCTTTGCAGAGCTGGGGTGGGCGTGGCCACCAGTTTGATGCTTGACGCATCCGGCCCAAGGGCCACCAGTTTGATACCCCTGATCTAGACCAAAGTGCAGCTGTTTGTCAGCTAACTGGACACAGTTGATTTAACAGCATAACACCTGTATTGGATCGCGCACTGGCTACCAGTTGGTGTACAAGTAGTGGCTGCTATCTTTGAAAAGCCACCTGGTTTAGCCCCCAGGTTCGTTTAAGAGAAGGATACTAAGAATTCTCATCCCATGCCTTTTAGAATATTTTGCCCCCTAAGAAATGGCCCTGTCAGCCCCTCATAGTAGACCAAATTAGGTGGCCAGTGTCATGTAGCTCAATGCTACTTCATTATAAAGCTATAGCAACAGAATTTTGCAAGTCTGGATCTGCTGTCTTCCCTCCCCCTTTCCTTTTTTTTATGAGAACTGATGGGGGAGGAGCTTTCTGAGATGTTTACTCATGTTACTTTTATGGCTCTGGACTCATAATATTAATTGATTGTTGCCTTGATGGTGGTTCTTTCGCCAGTCCCTCAAAGCTATTTCCTAAAATTCAACCTGGTCCCGAGCTTCTCTACTCAGATTATTATTGAGGATTTTTTAATTGTATTTTCATTACATAGCACCAAGTCCTTTAGGAAATGGTTATCTGTAAATGATTGTATAATTAAAATGTAAACAAATCATTTCACCTGTGAACTTCTCTATTGCATTGAGACTTTGTTAGAGAAAATTGGAGAAAATGGTTTTCAAGGTTGAGGCCTTTTTTGCTAGACACTTGTGTGAGGAAGGGAATCAATTTTATCATATTCTGTGCTGACTCTTAATATAAGTGGGACTAATAAAACATTTTAGGTCAGGGAACAGGTGGAGAGAGAGCAAGGATAATTTTCCTTTTTTGCTTCCTCAGTCCCATGTTACATCCATATCAACTAGGTGGCAATACCATTTCCTGCAATGTAACTCTGATAATGCTGGAAGCCTCATCGTTGCAAGACCTTCTACTTGAAGGAGCTCAGTTTGTAGTTTCTTGTGGAACACGCTGGCAGAGAACAAGGAGTAGGATAAATAAGCATTTGAATCTTAATAAAATGGAAGTGCAATGATCTGCAGATATTTAATATACCTATGAAATGCACTATACACCTGGCTAATTTTATGGAGGAAAACCTCTTCAGAACTTAGCTATTTCATTGAAACCCACCTCTAATTGCTTGCCATGTCCTCTTATTGGTTTTTTCACTTCTCAGAATCATTGCTGATTGCTACAGTAATACTGGACTCAGATTTGGAGCCTGGTTTTTGTTTTTTTTTTTTGACATTTGCTTGGGAAGGGGGCAATTATTGTATCCTTCACACAATTAAAATTGAGACTTATGATAGATTTCCTCAAATTTCAGCAATGTGTGGCTTGTGTACCTTTTCAGTGATGAGGCCACTAAGGATGTATCCATCTTCAGAAAGAAAGCCCTGTGGTGAGGGTTGTATTGAGAAAGTGATGCTGTCTCAGTATTCCAATTACATTTCCTTGATAGAGTAGATTAGATTTTCAGGAGAAAACATACTGCAGAGATCCATTTTTGGCGTGTAATCGACTGAAAGCCCTGTTGCATACTTTGTCAAATATAAAATTTAGGGAAGCTAACCCTCTCCTCCCAGAAATATTTGTTTCCTCACTTTACAAAGCAGGCAGAGTTCTTAGGCCAATTTCCTGAGGTGAATTGTCCATCAAAAATCTGGGGAAATTAACTTAGACCTCTTATTAGTGGGTAGCAGGAGATTAGTATGGAGGAAAATAAACCTTGACTGAATGGCATTACAGTGTTCAGTGTTTGTGTTGGAAGTGCATTCTGGAAAATGCATTCATAGCCATATTTGGTTCTTCTGGTTTATTATTATTTTTCTGTGTGGTGGCAGGCAGTGTAATGGTCAGTAAATGGTCTCTTTCCAGTGACGCTAGACCTAAAGTCAGCTGTAGAGCAGCGCTTAGGTTTCAAATCCACCCCTGCGGCTCCAGAGCCTGAAGAGCTGGATCCTGGAGAAGTGGAAGCTACTGTCTTGCCAGATTGGACACCTACCCTGACTGGGACTGAGGTAAGACTTGGTAGAAGGAGCAAAGCAGAGAAATAATTAAATCTGTACATTCTGAAATCCCCTTCGTAAGATTTTATCTATTCTGGCATAAAAAATCTGGTGACCTAAGGATTGCCTGCAGTATTATTCTTCTGAGAGAATTGCCATCTTTTTCTTTCCTTCTCCCTTTTGGAGTTTTGAAGTCCCAGCTAGTTATTAGGCAGAAGCAATGCTGGTTCACATCTAAAGACAGTGAGTTGTTAATTTCTCTGTTCTACTATGCTTTTTCATCTTAGTCCTGCTACTTTACCAATTTTCTAAGTTCATTCCTGAACAATAACTTCAAACTTTTTTTACAGGACCTAACTCCTGGCAGTGTGGAGGAAGCAGAGGAAGCAGAACCTGATGATGAATTCAAGGATGCAATTGAGGTGTGTAGTTTGAGAATCTAGAGTGGTCTGTCCTGAGACAAATAAATCAGTTTACACCTGCCCAATGCTCTCCAGAGATGCTGGACTTTAACTCCAAGTTCTTGGCTGTGCTGTATGTAATTTGTAGATATTATAATCCAATGTCTCTGAAGAACACCAGGTTGGGGAAAACTGGAATAAGGAAATATTGATAAGCCAGTGGATTAAATGTGGCATTTGGACCAGGGTATTAGATGAGCCTTATTGGTTGGTTTGTTGATGCTTCTCATTGATTAATATGGAATTATCCATTTGAATGCATGGCTCATATTAATTTATTGTTGTTGAAATTTCTTTTTCAAATTAATTTGGGATTCCTTGTTGCTTTGATTTTAATTTCTCAATAGTTGCTCAGAATTGAGGAAGAGAAATAAGTGGCTATAATAAGTGCTAAAATAAATTCACCGTTTTTGTTCTAAGGTTAGTGAGAAGTTAGATCAAGTTCTTCATCTATGATGTAAATACAGTACTTCTATATATGTGCAAGTAATAAGAGGGACCTCTAAATAATATGCTGTCCTATAAATAGAAAGGAATGCATTTAAAGACATGATACCGGGATTGGGCTGTACTGTTTTCTGTGTTTTGGCCATCTTCTCTTGTCTTTTGTCTTTGCTGCAAGAACAGGAGACTCAGCTGCTTGTAATGGTGAGTGCAAGAACTGGGCTGCTCTGCCCTGAGCTTGTATTCCCTTTTAGTTTCATTGTTTGTGAATCCTAACATCTTAAGAATCAGTCTATGCTATACTTTTTGTCTGCATCATATCCCATCTCCTTATCCACTCTTCCAAGTTGAAGGATTACAGGATCCAGTCTGGGTTGTTTACCGGACCAGACCTTTAACCTTCTGAGCTTTTGGACTTGTTCTGGAGCCCCTCCTCAGAGTGCTTTTCTTTCACAAGATGTGTGAGAAAGTTCTGAGAGCGAGAGAAGTTCCCTGAGAATAGGCTCCAGCATGAGTCCAAAAGCTTGGAAGACTAAACCTCTGGTCCTGGTGACTGATCCAGATTGGATCCTGCAATATTATCCTGGGACACATATATTTGCCGTCATTCATTTGAGGATTACTTTTAAAGTTTTTCTGCCATTCCATCCCTTCTCCAGGCTTGGCCCAGCTTTTCCTAATGTTTGAAACTGTTCATCTGGATTGTATTTTCCAGGATGTCTTTATGCCTTAGAGTTTTTCCCAGACAATATGTATACCGCACTCCTCATAACCTCTCTTTTGTCTAGGAGGAAGACGACATCTCTCAGGGTTCAGGAGAGTTTGAGCTTGGCCTTCCTGACAGTCCCTTTATGAGCAGGAATGATGTGATTCGTAGCAGGGTGTCACGGTTGACAGAACGACTGCGCAAACGTTATCCAACCAACAACCTTGGTACAGGACTGAAAGGGGCAGTGGTAGGGGGTTATCAGTAGAGGTGCATATTGTTGGGAATGAAGCAGGATTGTTCAAGGGTATAGACAGAAGAGGAGGCCTATCCAAAAACTAGTGCAGAGGAAATTAGCACTGAGTAATTTTACAGGGGTCATGAAGAAAAATACCATCCTGACCCCAAATGGGTATGCAAAAATATCAGGGCCAAGAAAAAATAACCTTCAGTGTTGTTTGGTATAGAGGTGGGCAACCTTTTATTGCCTCTTCCTGGTTTTATTGGTTCCCAACAGGCACAAGAAAATATGTTTAGCTTTTACCTTATTTAAAGTATGTGTGTGGTTAAGTTTTAAAACAAAAAGGCTACTTTAACTCTCTTTATTTTATCAATTTCCACTACATCCAACTTCATCTTTTCTAAGTTCACCTGCTTTACTAGTTATTTCTTTAAAAAAAAGTTGTACCACTAAATTTCACCAGCACTGTATTAGAAACTTGGGGTACACAAAAGGCTGGGTGCTGGGTCCAAAAATGTGTGGATGTAAGATAATGAAGGGAATCAGGGTGTAAAATTGATTTTTAAAATCAAACACAATTTGATTTTAAATTAATTTAAAATTAATGGTAATTCATTATATTTCATTCATTTTTACTTAATCATGTTATGGGAAAACAATTTGACCAGAATCACCTAGTAAGGTGAGACATTTTCTACCATCTTCCACTATTTCAGCTGTTAAGAGCTGATGCCCACTACATATTTGGTTCCTCTTGTTTTAAGGCATGAGGAGGGGGTGTATTTCACCCAATGCTAATTTCCATGTGTATATAGAATTCTTACATTTCTGCACCCGATTTAAGGTTTCAGGTCAAAGAATTGATTTCTCCCCAAAGAAGGGGCATATTTATTCAGTGTTTTGTTTTGGTGGAATCCAGATTTTCTCATATTCAGATTCTTGCATAGGATTCTCATTCTGAATTTCTTAGTACAAACTGACTCCAGACGAGGCTGGTTGAATGTGAACGGACTTGATTTTTGTGAGTTACGTATGAATCCAGCCACCAATGGCATGATGGAATTATGGATGAACAAAGGCTTTACTCAGTGGTTAGAAAAAGAAAGGAAGGCTTTCTTGTGGTTTTTGGTTTTGCTTACTAAAAGAAGAAAAGCAGTTATTAGGTGTGATACTTACTTGTATCCTTCTGCTCTGTTTCAGGAAACTGTGCGAGTTGTTCCGCCACTTTCTCTGTCTTGAAGAAGAGGGTGAGTCTTTTCTCCAGCCCACCAACTCCCTGCCTGGCCTGTTCCATTTTCTTCTTTCCCTGCTTCATCATCTTGGTGGATCTCAGACTGAACTCTGCAGCCTGCTCACTCACTCCTCTCCTTGCATCTTTTCCCTCTCTAGCGAAGCTGCAGTAACTGTGGGAACAGTTTTTGCTCCAGGTGCTGTTCTTTCAAAATTCCCAAGAGCTACATGGGGGCTACAGGTAAGTGAATAACAACAACAACAGCAACAAAAAAGAAGACGGGATGGAGGGGAGAATCATTTAGGTAATAGTCCCCTGGGTGAGTCTTTTCCTTTCCCATTGGAGATCAGGGGAAATCGTGATTTGCTATAGTGGGAGATAATAGATGGTCTGAAGATGTGACATGCCTGGAAAAAGGGATACTGGTAGTCCTTGACTTACGACAACAGTGAGCCTAAAATTTATGTTGTTAAGCGAGACAATTGTTAAGTGAATTTTGCCTCATTTTACAAATTTTCTTGCCACAGTGTGTTAAGTGAATCACGGCAGTTGTTAGGTGAATGTGGCTTCTCCAACAACTTTGCTTGTCAGAAGTTCGCAAAAGGTGATCACATGACCCCGGGACATTGCAGCCGTCATAAGTTTGAGTCAATTGCCAAACATCTAAATTTTGATTGTGTGACCATAGGGGTGCTGCAGCAGTCGTGAGTGTGAAAAACAGTCGTACGTCACTTTTCCCCCCGTGCCATTGTAACTTTGAATGGTCACTGAATGAACTGCTGTAAGTCGAGGACTACCTGTAGTGAGTGGGAAGCTGCATGAGCTTTGAGTAGCCCTGAAATTTTGATTGGTGTTTCTAATTGCAGCCCCAGAGGCCCAGCGGGAGACTGTCTTTGTATGTGGGCAGTGTAACCAAGCACTCACCAAGTGAGGAGCCCATATGGAGTCCAATCTTCAGAGGAATCTGCTGGGGATCTCACACTACACTAGCTGCTACTTGAAGGGAGACAAGCAATGGCACGGCGTCTTTTCTTCCTCCCTATACTTGTAAAAAAAAAAAAAGGAGGGCAAGCACATCTAACCTGCTGACTGCTCTGTGTGCTCCTGCTCCCTTCCTTGAAAGCAACTGAGGAGATCTCTGCAATCCTGGTTGTGTGGAGGATTCTTCATGCACTAAACCAGGGGTCTCCAACCTTGGCAACTTTAAGACTTGTGGACTTTAACTCCCAGAATACCTCAGCCAGCTTTGCTCGTTCAGGAATTCTGGGAGTTGAAATCCACAAGTTTTAAAGTTGCCAAGGTTGGAGACCCGTGCACTAAACTACTGTAGGCTTCCTTCCCTTCTCCCAATTCTCCCAAGAGCAAATATTTCTAGTCTGTGGCCCCATTTTTTTTTCCCTGGAGTTTGGCTGGCAGGAGGTTGGCTGTCCTTATTTTTGAAAGGTTACCCTTGGCACTTGAACTCCTCAAACCTCTCAAAGTGTTTTACTATTGCTGAGGTGCCATCCCTCTCTTTCTGTGTGTTTGTGTGTTCTGAAATGAAGGCTGGGTCTTTGTTCAGATGATGGTTATAGTTGGCTCTGAGAGCAGGCTTTGCAGGGCCAAGAGGATCAACTGTAGTTGTCCAACCGACGAGGTAGCTGGATCTACTTTTTCTGCCTATTTCATGTGAGGATAATGTTTCCCTCTCTTTTCTATTTCCATGCCACTGGCTTTATTTTGTTGGTTTTTATCTAAAGCCCCTTTTATCATGGTCAGACTAGGATCTGGAAAATGTGTGGTTTTCAGCCCTGCCTTGTTAGAAGGCAGAGGCTGTAGTTAACTAGGGGTTTTGCTAATAGCAAAGCCTAGGTGAAAGTCAGGGAGCTTCCTTAAGAGATAGATCACTTCTACAGAAGTGGGACATGGTTGGACTATTGCAGAGTAATATATATATCCTACCAATAAGCAAAATCCTTGGGTGTGAAGACAACATTTCTGGAATCTGAGGTAATTTTTATTGCTGTGATGACTATAGGGTCCCTGCTATGGATAAATATTTCTGGAAGAGGAGCATCATTAGGTAGATAGAACAATGGAATATAGCATGGTAGGGACTAAGAGAATGAGAGCAGGACAATACATGATACGGTGGGTTTCTTCAAAACAGACATATTGTGTCTATAACACGCTGATGCTAGTGGGATATGAGATGGAGGAAATGCCAAAAGGAAATTTGTGTGTGTGTGTGTGTGTGTGTGTGTGTGTGTGGAGTTGACAGTATCTCGGACAGACCCTTTGAGACTCAACCATGGTGAACTATTGGGTAGGCCTGAATGGGAACATAACTGAGAACGTCTTTTGCTTTGGGGACATTAGAAACATAAATACAAAGCCTGGCTGGAAATAGATTCAGAACACTATGCTTTTGACTTAATATATGAACTCAATCTCCCCATTTTTCACTGTAGAGAGTTGTACATGTCATCAAAGGCATTTGGTTTTCCAGTGCTAAAAATATATTGCAGGACTAAATGGAGTCTTACTTTAAGATGTGAAATGACTTTATAAAATCTTCACAGTATGTCAGGCACCCACAACATTTTTGAGTTGCTTGTATTATTTGAGAATGTGTTGTGGATGCTCACAAAAATGACTGTTGGGGCAGAGAAAGGATTTTCTACTGACAGAATGGCTCCAGACCACTGACAGAATAGCTCTTTACTCCAGACTTTTAGAATACTACCACCACCAACTACCACCCCTGTTTCTCCAAGGACCCCTAGTTCACTTCTACTTCTACTAAGCTTTGTCCTTTTCTGGATAGGTGGCTATCTCCAAGTGGATTTGAAATACAGTATCATATATATATAATGCTGAAGATTGGCATTTTTCTTTATGCTAGGTTTCCAATTGTTGTAATGCATTATTTTTTAATATGTAACGTGTGGTGGAACCAGGAGGCTAGTAGCTTCTATGAGAGGAGTCTCTGTGCAAAGATGGGAGGTCCCATGAGAAACATGGCTTATAAATTAGATAAAAGATAAAACTTCTTGTTTACTTCCTGCTGTTTTTTAAAATGTCAAAAACAATGGAGACTTTGGTGTCTGTAAAACTCGTCAGCAGCCATTCAGTTATGTCCGATCCAAGTCCATTCTATGTCTGTAAAACACATTTTGTATAATACTCACCAACATCTTCAAGTAGGTTTCTGAGTTGTTAATTCATAGAAGAGATAAATAGGTTTCTTCATTCCACCTACCAATAAGCATTTAAAAACCAGTCAGCTGCTGTGGAAAGGAGGTCTGTGTAAGTAACAGTACAGTAGTAATAATATATTACTCCAGATTTTGTACACCACTCATACAATATTTCTAATAATTTCTCTTATGACTGGTGAAGTATGATTTTTTTTTTAACTTGACCAAGTGAGGAATTCCTGCCCCCCTCCCCCCAAGCTGCACATACACAATTGCACTGGAGTAGATCAATTTACTCTATCCTGATAGTTGTTGCCAAATCCTCTTGCTAAGATAATGTAAAGCTTTTATTACTGTATTTATTGCCATTTTATTGGAAATATAAGAAAACAGTTGCTGCTGCTGCAAGAAGACTTGCAGAGAAACTAGTCATGCCAGGTGCTGAATGAGTCAGGGGTCGGGTCAGGACTGTTATAAAGTGAGAGCTGAGGTCTCAGCCAGCCCCAGGTCATTTTATGTGTGGCTTAATAGCTTTTCTACATTAAAAAAATGTGTCATTTTGTGTATGGCTTTCAAGTTAAGAACTTAAAGGATCATTTGGAAAGTAAATTAGCTTGATGAAGCCTGTAGTTCTTCTCCCTTGAATTAGAAAATATTCATTATTTGTAGAGTTGAGGAAAAAATAAACTGCAAATGATTCCCCCCGGACCGACCCCCGACCCCCGGAAGTATTTAAGCAAAGATGGGTCTCACATTGGCAGATTTAATAGATATAAAATGATGTAGGGCAGGGGTGCCAACTGGTGGCCCACAGGCAGGATGCGTCATGCACAGGCCATGCCCACCCCAGCTCCGCGAATGGGAAAAACGTAATGAAACATCACATGACGGCAATGTGACGTGGTGAGTTTGACATCCGTGATATAGAGGAACTATAAATCAAAAGATACAATTTATGGGTGTGCTCAAATTTCACCGGCTGTTTCCTGGGAGTCAGCTTTAAACTTGTTCTTCAGGATAATGGTGGTGTGTGAAAAAAAACATGTAGGATGTTTTTTCTACAACTTATCTTTGGAGAGGGAGAACACCAACCTTTTAAATGAGTTTGGGTTGCATTAGTTTGAGAGAAGAACGAAGAGGTTTTTTTTATAAGAATAGACAAAAGTTCTATTATAAAAGTAATTTAAGAGGATGTTTTGAAGAAGGATGACACAAAGGTAGCCATTGATAGGGAAACTTGAACAAATGGAATCCCAGAGCTGGACAATTCCTTCGTGTCAGCAAAACATTTATGCTTCCAACTTTCAAGACTCTCTGTGTGTGTTTGAGATGATTTTATGAGGAAAAGACTTGCTCTATGTAAGGGGCACACAATGCAGTAGTTGTGAAGCTTAAGTGGAGAAGTGTGTTTTGTCAGTTTTTAACCATCTATTTTCATTTTATTCAATTAGCAAATAGATAATATTCTTGCAAGGAAAAGTACAGATTACATTAGAAGTAATTAAACCTGGAGATTTAGGAACTAAAAGTTCTCATTTATCCAAAATATTGTATCTTTGGTGGCAATCCCACAGATTTTGGCACTACATAATGTCTGGAATACAGTGGAGGATAGAAAATGTTTCTTTTTCAAATTCTATATAGTGCAAGTCATCTGCCTATCAGCATTTTTTCTTCTTCCCTCTGCCACCCATTTTTGTTCTAAAACTTCAGAAATGTCCATTTTTTCACCTATAAAAATTCACCTTAGACCAGGGCTGTCAAACTCATGGCCCACGGGCTGGATGCGTCACGCGCTGGCCACGCCCATACCTGGTTTAGCGAATAGGGGGGAAGTTGCGATATGTCACGTGACGCCACTGTGATAATGAAAGTTTGACACCCCTCCCTTAGACAAATATTTTAAAGAGTTATGGCAACAATGTTGGCAGAAGCAATCTTGATATCCACAGTGTATGTGTCATGTAAGACTGTTTGCTCTAGTGGTTAAGGCATAATGCTAGAAACCAGGAGAGTGAGAGTTCTAGTCCCGCCTTAGGCATGTGACTTTGAGCCAATCACTCTGGCCCAACCTCATAGGATTGTTGTGGGAAAATAGGACAAAGGAGTATTACATATATTTGCCACCTCGAGTTATTTACAAAATAATAAAGGTGGGATAAAAATAACATTAAATATGTAATTTTGCAGTCTCATATTTTAGAGTTGCCAGGTTGAGATACACTGTTAAGAGTATCTGAAAAAGCTTTTATCCTGTTTGGAAAAGATATTTCTTCTTGTCCACTCTTTTCCCCTGAAAGTTTTGGCTAGAAATAAGTCCGTATGAAAAATATATCTGTGTGCAAGCAGGATTATTCCTTTCCATTTGTTTTAGGCAGTTCTCCTATCTCCCAGCTATGCTAATGCTATATATGCATTTGTGTGCTCAGCTTGAGGATACAAGGAAAGCAACTACACCCTGTTTGCCATCTGGCTGGTGTCCATTCTCTTGGAGGTCTGGCATTCTGCATGGGGGACAGCCACCTGGAAGACCTGATTGGTTTGGTATCCTCCCTTGAAGGCAAACACAGGAATACTATACTCTGATACATTGCCAGCCTCCAGAATAATATTAGAATTAGTTTCAAAACATATCCAGCAACTTGGCCTTAACATATACCCACATGTTTTAGGGTAGAGCTGCTAATGGCACGGATGTATGTATGTAACTGAAATTATGGGTAAAAAAATCCCTTTTGCTCAAAACTATTGACTGCCTTTTTAGCACCATTTCAAAAAATTGCTCAATCTTTGCTTGAAATTCTATTTGTTTGAGTTGGAGATAAGAAAGCCCAAAATTTGGTCAGGCCCAGTGGAGTCCTAGGTTGAGCAACATGTATTTCTTCAAGCACATGAGAATACAGTGATCTGCCATACTTGGAACCTGATTCCTGGACTATTGTTAAAGAAATGATGTAATCAATCACTTTAGAGAAGTTTAAAAGAATGTATAAATGAATGGTTCATTAAACATAGATTTCCTGCTCTTAATCTTTATGTATTTTAAGACTTTTTATTAGAATGAAATGAAAATGGAGGAATTAATTTCAAATGTTCCAAGTTTAATTATATGTTTCCATTAAAATACTGAACAATTCAGACGAAAAGAGGATACACTGGGTGTGATGATATTATTCAAAGCCACAAAGACTTTTTTTTATTTGGCAGCTGATGGTATATCGAGGATAAGGAAGTATTTCTGTAAGATCTCTGAAGTCATATGAGTATCAACAACGTGCAGGATTCCTCCGAATATTTTTAATCAAACCCAATTATCCGATGGAAAACAGAATCCTCAGAAAAATGGGCTCTACCAGCTTGTATCTTGATGTCAGCCTGCCCACAGAAAAAGGATATTTATATGTGGGGGGGGGCATTCAGTGGGGGTCTGATCCATAAAAGAATGGATAATGCAAGGAACATGGATAAGAGAACATGAACTTAACGGCAAATTTCATTTCCTTGTTCTTCTTCTCCCAGCGATAAATGGCCAAGACTAACAGTCTCCCACCCACTTTTCGGCCCATGACCAGAAAGCTGCCACTGAGATCATCAAGCTGAGGGCAAGGACATGTGCCTGCATTCTTCATATACAGTACCAGCTTTTTGGTGTCCTTGCGTTTCAGTGGCCCCACTTTGAGCAGTTTTTTTTTCTTTTGAGTGGCCACTAATCGCCTCTCCCCGTTTTCCTTTTTGATCTCCTTGATGCGCATCTTCACCACTGTGGAAGAGAGGATAGATCATAAATTGCCTTAAGACATTACAAATTAAGGAGGGAAGTCAGTGAAAGAAGAAGTGGAGAAGTAGATAGAATTGTAAATATGCAAATTATGGTGTTGATGAGTATAGTCCCTTTGATTTTAAGGTTCAGAATTGACTTTTAAAATGTTGGCAGAGGAAGACCAAAGATAGATGGCGGGTAAGCTGAAGCTGCAGAATAAATGGGAGTGATTTACTCAGCCCTTGCCACATTATCCTACTGGCTACTTTTTTGCACATGACAGATGTGTATTTGTTTCAAGGCCCAGCTACCAGATTTTTAGCTATGTCACATTGGTCATCCCTGAAGTCCCTTATTGTTTCAGTAGTGAGCGTATCTGGAAAAGGTACAGATCATCCAATTTTTTTTAAATAGTATGAATTCAGGGTGTTTTTTTTTATCGTTAAGAAGTTTATAGAGCACAACAGCATTAAATGCAGATATAGCATTTATGGGAATTACTGCAGTTATAGTGATATACCACCAATTCCATCTTGATGTTCCCATGTGAGGGAGTTCTTTGGGTGACTTAGCACAGGTTGTTTCTTACAGAATACCACATATGAATGGACATTCCAAAAGGCACAAGAACTGGATCATCCAAAATGAATGAGCAAATTTGAATTTAGTTATGTGGGGGGAAATGTGCTACCTTGAGAGGAGCTTGTTACTATGTGCAGCCTGGAAATAAAGGAAGGTTAGGTATTGATTTATGACAACTTTTGGGGAAAACCCTGGGGGGGAAAAATAAGGGAATGCTATAAATTGTGTTTTTGAAGTGAAATATTAAAAAAAAAAAGCCATTTCAGTTTGGGGGAAACATAACTGGTGCTCATCTCCGAATCAAATGGAGTAGAATTCAAGATTGACAACCTTAAATGTGACACCTGAAGTAGAATACCCTGCAAGCCCATCTCTATCTCCAACCTCGCCTGTGGTAACTTGCTTTCCTTTTATGGCACACAATTGCCCTCATGAAGCAGCTGCCTTTGTCTGGGTAGATCTAGCTTCTCTGAGGATGTGAAAATGAATGTGAAACGTATTGTATTCTGCATCAGAGTAAACTCGTCTGCTGCTGGTATCATCTTGTCTCCTATACCTATACAGTAGATCCTTGACAAGGAAAATCTGCCATATTTAACCACGGCTATTTTCAGTCTTCTGTTTGCTTACACTGATTACTCTAAGTATCTGGTTGATCTCATCCTTTGAAGAACTGAACTATAACTACATAAATATTTTATAATGATTATTTTTAAAATGTATACCTTGGCTCTTCTACAAGGACTATTCAAGGCAACAAATAAATGGTACACCCTTTTAAATGAAGCACTACAAAATTAACAAAAGAAAAAAATAAAAAGTACTGGAAATTCTAATAATTATAGGGAAATATAACACTATTCATTATTATTAGTGCATGGAGATTGTCTTCAAAAAATGAATTCTGATCAGGTTGTTATTAAAACTTTGTTTTTAAAATGTAAGAATATTCAAGGGTTTGGAAAGATATAACTGGCAGACCTAAATGACAAGGCTGCTTAGAAATGTGAGAAAATATCCTAATTTAATCTATTAAGAGATGAGATGGGTTCAGAGTGACAAAGATTTTTTTCTTGGAGTCATAATTTAGGGCTACTGTGAGTCAAAAAAAAAATCACATTGATTTGATCCCAGAAACAACCTGGAAGCTGCTGAAGGATCTGATTGAAAATAGATGGAGTTCAAGCAGGGAAAGGGAAGTAAGAATCATAAATATTCAATATATTCCCAACAGCTGCTTATCCCAGATCTCTGCTGTTGTTTTGTGTGTATGATTTACCAAAGTCACTGGAACACATCTGCTCCATGATGCCATCCGCTTTGTGTTCCATCTCGCACTGGGTGCAAATCTTTGAAACTGTAAGATGGAAAAAATGAATGTGAGCTTAGAAAATTGGGCATATTTAGCGTTGTGCCATATATATTCCTGTCTGTTTTCATAGGCAATTGATTTCAAGTGATTTCCTAATTACCTTGCCTTGTTATGAACTTTTTAATTATCCTGAAATATCTTGAACAAATAAAAAACCATTTCAGTATAGTTACTGATCTATATTTTTTTAACATGTTAATGGAGATGATTAAATAGATGTGGAATAATCATGTTTATATAAAATATAAGTTTAATCAAATTTAATTTTTACCTGCCTCTCCCATACCTTTCCACTGCAGCCCCCAGCATTCTACTCAATGGTCAAGTGAGACCAAGACAGCAGGAAAGGGAAACATGTTCATAAACGTACGTCTTAATGGGATGCATTATTAGAGCATTGTTCTCTAGCTGTTACTCTGAATCCTACATGGGGATTGAATTCTATCAACATCCATGAAGATCTGCACAATTACTACATTAGTATGCATTTAAAGAAGGGAAAGAGGAAAGTGAGAAAAAAAGGCAATAAAGGACAAAGAGTTTTTTTACCCACAAAAAAAACAAGTAGGTCTAGTTTTCTTCCAATTTATTAAACTGGATAGGCTAAGGCTCTTACTGTTATATGAGTATTAAAATACAAGAAATGTGACATCTTTCTTTTTAATTCAGATAAAGAAAGACATAATTAAAGTTGGACCCATACTGTGAGTTTGAATTAAAGATATATCCTGGATATGTAAAATACATTGCATGATTATTTCTTTAGCCTTTTTGTTACTTTCTGGACTTGGCATCAAACACCAAACATGACTTGCTTTCTACATGGGCATGTAAAGAACTTTGCTAGCAAGGAGCTCTTTGCCAAACATTATACTTAAATCAAGTAATTGACCAAAAATGATAGAAAGGACAGAATAAAATCTGTACTGCCCTTTTGAAGCATGCAGAGAGAAACCCCATTAGAAGGCATTATTAGCTGTTCCTAAGTATCCAATGGGATGGGAGTCAGTGGATATTATCTCCAAATAAATTTCATATTAAGTTTCCATGAGAAATTTTGGATTTGGGCCAAATCCCCCCTCTACTGGCAGCACTTATACCTCATTCCAACTGGGAAGAGTGACTTTGTGGGATCCTTGGTGCTCTATGAGTTCCTGTCTGTTCAAATAGAGACATCCTTCAGCCACCACAAAATAGGCAAGGGGGAAGTTGCTTTTGTGGATGATTATTAAAATTCTACCTGACTGATTGGGGTTAGTGTCCTTAGAGTGAATTGGGGGATAGGAGTTTACTCAAACATTCCTGAATGGCTGTGGTATCTTGTGGATATAAGAAACAGAAAAGTGAAAAGACAGGCAGTATATCTAGGGAAACTTAATTTTTGCAGGCAATGATTTTGAGTCTGTTCCTATTCAAGCCAGAGAAATATTTTTTGCAATCTTGTTTACAGGACACAGCTGATGGGGACTGGGGTAAGTGGGGGAGGGGAGCTCATGCAGAATCTGCTTCAGACTTGTCTTAGACAAAGAACACACCCCTGTAGCTTTTGTACCCAGTGTCAAGGTTTAGTTATTTACATAGGACTGGTGTATGTGCATGAGAGACAGACAGATTAGTGCTGGTGTTTCAAAACCATCCATTTTAATATCCCTCTATTTTCCTGCTGGGTTTTTTTTCTCTTGCTATTTAAAAAAAATGAAAGAGGGAAAATAAAAGTTTGTTGATGGAAGCACTCTGAATCATTTCTGGCTGTCTTAGGGATCAGGCACAGGTTGTACAGCAGAGCAATTCTGAAATGAAAGGACCTGGAGCTAAAAGCTGTGCTGGAAGTATTTTTCAGCCTTGGCAACTTGAAGAGATGTGGACTTCAACTCCCAGAATAGTCAAGTTTGAGAAACACTGTATACTGGAGTTTGCTGGGCTTTGTTGGCTCTAAGGCCAGGGTTGTGGAAATAACTTGTCTATATGTTTTGCCTCCATATCTATCTATGAAGATTCTCAGTCATCCAGGTCATGGTTGTCCCAAAGGTGCTTTTTCAACAGGCAACTGGACTTTCTGCGTTTTTTAAAAAAGCACATTTCACTTCTCATCCAAGAAGCTTCTTCAGCTCTCAGCTCCATAAGTACTGTTGATTACATTCACAAGCCTTTTTGTGGCAAATAATACTTCCCAGATTCCAGATGTAGACTGGTTCTTACCAGGTCCAGATTTTGGTGCTCACCAAGGCCAGGTGAGGAAAAAAAAGAGTGTCTCTGTTCTTTTTCCAGCTTGCTCTATGATCGGAATACTTCTGAAATTAGCCTGGGTTCTCTTTTGATCAAACCGTGCCTCCAGCTGGCTGCTGTGCCAAAGAATTTGCAAACAACTGCTTGTAGATAGCAGATGTGCATGCCTGGGTGTGGGCAAACATTTGTTGGTTTTAGTTCTAAAATCTCTGTGTATCCACCTCTCCCTGATCGCATGCTTGAGAGGATGAGCTTCTTCAGGTTTATTATGTGAAGAAGCTTGCACTCCTGAAAGAAGCATACTAGAGAAAAAGTCACATTATGTTGGATGTTTCATCCTATATGAATGCTACTGCTTTTGTAATGAAGCAGATGGTAATGTCCTGCTCTTATAATACAGAGGAAAAAACATTGATATGGATACAGGGTTGTGTGGCAAATGTCTGTACAATTTGCTTAATATGGAGAACTTGTAAAAGATAAGAGGGTAGGAGTCCAGACTAGTGTTTTCCAATCTAAGACAACTTCTAAGTGTATTGACTTTCAAGCCAGCATCGTGACTGCTGAGAATTCTAGTACAGGTAGTCCTTGAAAACAATTCATTTAACAACCATTAGAACTACTGAACAGTACATAGTGTTTCTCAATCTTAACTATTCTGGGAGTTGAATTTCTAATGGTTGAACAGTACTGAAAAAAGTCAAAACCAGTCCATCTGGAAGTACTGACCCCAGGAAACACTAATATAGACAGAAGCATGCATAAGATTTGTTTCTAGTAACCAAAGTCCAAGGAGTATTGTAAAGTGGGGTTCTACAGGAATTGTATAAGAAATAGATTTATTAATTTCCCTCCTCCACTTCCCATGCCCTCCATGCTATTACCTGATGGCTGAGTAACTTGGTTGTTTCCAAACTGCACTGTGATACAGAGGTCGTTGTCAAAGGGAAATTTGTTGCAGTTGAGCATATCAGGCCAGGGGAAGCCATAGGATTCCATGACGGGTGCACATGAATCACGCACAACTTCACATAAAGAACGGCATGGATAGATGGGCTGGTCCAGGCAGACAGGTGTAAATAGAGAGCAGAGGAAAACTTGTGTGTCTGAGTGGCATCTCTTGGCTAGGAGAGGTACCCAGCTGCTGGCTTGTTGCTTGACCTCAGGCATAGATTCATGCTCCAGCAGATTAGGTAAGCGCATGCGTTTGTAACCCACGTTGTGGCAGAGCTGCAGATCAGCTGGGATGTCCACACACTGTGATTGCTTGGTATAGAAGCGTCCATGCTGAAAGTTATCTGAAGGCCAGCTGTAGTAATCATACTCCTGACTCATGGACTGCACCCAGCCCTGCACCAGAACCAGTAGCACTCCATCCAGGACATTCCACCGACAGAGAAAGATCATGGTCCAGAGATTACGCTGTTTCTGCTGGAAAAGAGGTAAGTGAGTTGCTGCAGGTGCCACTGGCAACTAACTTTACTGCTCTGTTCTAATCCCAGCCAAATTGAGCTGCCAGTACCTGCTATAGAAACCAGGTACCTATGCCCAGGAAAGCAAACCTCTTCTCTCCAAGTGGCTCTTTATATTTGTCACTACCAGTGGGATGGAAGGAGCTGGATTCACACAAAGCCTCTGCTCCAGGCTATTTAGCACCACCCCTTCTAAGTTTGCAAAGGAGCCTCTTGGGGGTCGCCAGCAGCCAATCTTCACTAGCAAGCTTCCCTCCTCCCAAGTCTGACTTGGGTGCCAGCCACGATGATGTCCCCACCTCTAACTCTGGGCTGCTCCTCCACCCTCCTTCTTTCCTCCTCCTCCTCCTTCCCTCCTCTGGACCATCTGGGTTGTTCATATGCCTTTCACAACAGCCTTGCTCTTTTCCATACGATACATTGCATCAGGCTCCAGCTGCTATTGCCCTGAAACGCTACAAAGCAACTAATGTTAGGCAGCAGATTTTCTGTCTCCAGGCTTCATTTATGGAGTGCATTAAAAATGAGCAGATTAGTATAAAGTGGCTTTTATTCTCCCCTCTTATTTCAGGTGCAAAGTATGTTAGTCCTGATAAGCCCCGTCCATTTTGATTAGCAGTCTCTCTAATGTATTGAGACAAATGTTTAGCCTACTTGTTAAATAATAAAACAATCACATTCTGACCTTTTCCTGTAGAGATTATAGGCAAAAATTTTGGTGAGGGTGGCAGGAAATACAGTCATCCCTTTTAGAATATTTTTTGAGAGAGGCAAAGGAGAACAAGTTTGTGTCAGTTTTAGCAAAGTTAACAATGAGGGGGTCTGATCAGGATGGAAGGATGATCACTTAGAATGAAGAGAGGCATTCTCTTCCATCTCCTCCCTACATCAGTCAAGTAAATAGATGGTATATGTATGCTTTCTGGAGAACAAGAACTTGGACCATGTAGGCCAACAGAAATAAAGGTGGGGAACATATGGGAGACTTTGAAAGAACCATTGCTGTTATCAGATGAATAGATGTGTAAAGTGTTATTCACTAGACAGAAAGTGAACAGAAACCCAGTAGTTGCTTACAGATCCAAGCACCTTATTCTTTGGGTTGGTAAACTCTTCGCAAAAGGTATGTATGTTCATATATTCTATGTAATATAAGACTGTCAATTCACCAAAGCATTCTGGGTGACAAACAAATGACTCTCTGACAGCTAAGTCTGTCATTTGTGGGATATACAGCTGCTCCCATATAAAGATCAGGTGCTAAAATAAATCACCAACATCACATGCTTTCACACCATGAAAACTGAAAAAAAAAACCATGAATTACCCTGATTGCTGGAGATTGCACAATACGTTAAACTCTAAATTAACCACATTGACTAGGTTTATTCACTATAGTTGATGATGATAATCTTTATTCCACCTTTCTGCTTAGCTTTAAAAAATGTTACAGTTAAAACAATACCTACGGTGTGGTATTTAATGTACAGTAAAATAGAGAATAAATAATATTTTTTTCTTTTTACAACCCTTTAATCCAGGAGTGTCAAACTCGCAACTTCACGTTGTCATGTGATGTAACATGACTTTTCCCCGCTTCACTAAAATGGGGGTGGCATGGCCAGTGTGTGGTGCATCTGGCCCAAGCGCCACAAGTTTGACACCCCTTTATTTGGTGTGAATCAGGGAAACTATAGAATAAAGAATATAAAAACTAAATAAAATAAAAGCACAAATATTTGTGTGTTCATTTATTGCTATTTATATCCTCCATTTCCAATTCTATCCAAATAGTTTTCAAGCAACATGGATAATTCTGAATTAAAAATAAAACATTATTTTTAAATAAACAAACACAAAAACATTTTCTAAACTTCTTCCCCAGGGCTGTTGACACTAATGGCCTTGTAGCAGAGAAGGGAGAATTCTGGAGAAAAGGCTTTGATAACCCTCCTCCCCTCCTCCCTTGGCTTAATGAATAACTCGGTCAATTCTGATTCAGAAAACGGTGCTTAAAACATGTCATAGCTAAAACCAATCACAATTCTTTTGTGGCAAGATCGCTAGAATAAAGTCTGTTAAGTTTTCTAACAGTTTACCTAATATTTCACAGCTGTGATGTATAAAGATAGCACACTACAGGGTTTGTGATAAACCCTGACGTGTTCCTTACCTAGTCTGTGTTCTAACCAGGACATATTTGGGAGAAAAAAGATGGGCTTGAATGTCTGTCTGCTCTTCTTATAAGTTCCGTGTAGATCAGTGTTTCTTAAACTTGGCCACTTTAAGATGTGTAGACTTCAATTCCCAGAATTCTCTAGCTACTGATGTAAGTGATGATGCAGAGCCTCATGTCTTTGAAATCTGTAGCTGAGACTGAAACTAAACCAAATTTGAGCTAAGGTCCAGAAGGTTGTGCCCTTGGTGACTGTGAATGCGGCTGAAAGACAGCACTGAATCTTATTGAACGTGGCATGTATTCATTTTGATGGGATGTGTTAAACGTGCTTTTTAGGAAGTGTTATTGAAACTAGATGGCAGCAAAGACACAGCATTTCTGTGTTCCTTTATTGCCATTTAGTGGTAGTTTGGATTTCTGTAACTTAGATCTGCTTGCACTGTCTTTAAATATGTAGGATTACAATGCACAACATCTCTAGCCAACATAGTCCTTAGATATGCTGGAGGATGAGGAGAGTTGCAGTCCAACATATCTGGAAAAGACTAAACTTAGCTATTACCTGGAGTTCTTGCTAATATATCCACCACACCTGGACTCCATTACTTGGGCCAACTCTGAAATGATAGCACAAAATCAGATGGAGGTGGCAGGGGGAGGTTGGCAGAGGTGTAGCTGTTTTCCTCTATCTATTAGCTATCCATATTTTTCTAGCTAGATCTGGTAGCCCTTGATCAAACCTAGGTAGCCCTAGGTCAAACTCCCAGCCCATGGGCCAGATGTGTCACATGCTGGCCATGCCTGGTTTAGCAAAGGAGGAAAAAGTCCCGATACGTCACGTGACGCTGCTGTGACGATGTGAGTTTGACACCCCTGCTCTAGATATAAATATACTGTACATACAGTAAATAGAATAAAGGAGGAAGCAAACCTACTTTATGTTGTGTTGAAATTGCCATTGTGTTCTAACAAGAATTTTGAGATCAGCAGAAATTCGGCCAGTGTAGTTTTCTCCATTGCTACTGAATGATTTGATTGTTGTTAAATACTATAAATTCACAGGACCATTTCCATTAAATGTGTGGATTAGGTATACAGTAATGTCACCAATGTTTGTGATTAATAAGGTTGTGAAAAAGAACTGCAAAGTTCTGGATAACTGCTAAATGTTAGCTAATACACAAACATCTCTTTGCTTCTATCTAGTGATTATTTAGACTTTTTGCAGTCCAAATCTTATACTGTAAGCCCTAAGTTAAAGAAATATTCTCTTTACTTTTAATGAGAAACAGTCTTCCCTGAAAATGTTGGGATAGATACTGGAGCCCATTATAATGATGGAAACCTAGTTACTTATTAAATATAACAATGTTTTATAAATCTTGTGAGAATTTATGTTGCAGCCAACATTACTAGAGAATTACTTCAAAGATCAGAATAAAAACAAAATGAAGCCAGAAAACTACCAAATAACAAATACCTTATGCCACCAGACTCGAAATTCTAGACCTAGAAAATCTAGAACTACGCCGCCTTCGGTCTGATCTAAGTATAGTATATAAAATCATACATTGCAATGTCCTACCTGTCAATGAACACTTCAGCTTCAACCATAACAACACAAGAGCAAACAATAGATACAAACTCAAGGTTAATCGCACCAAACTTGATTGCAGGAAATATGACTTCAGCAACAGAGTGGTCAATATCTGGAATACTCTACCTGACTCTGTAGTTTCTTCCCCAAATCCCAAAAACTTTAACCTTAGACTGTCTACTATTGACCTCACCCCTTTCCTTAGAGGTCTGTAGGGGGCATGCATAAGCGCACCAACGTGCCTACCGTCCCTGTCCTATTGTTTCTTTTATTTTTTTATTTTTCTTATATGTATCCATGTATTCATAACTATGTTTTTACTTATACCTATTATCTTGTAAGCAGTTGACAAAAATAAATAAATAAATAAATAAATAAAACATTATTTGACAGAATTGACATGCTATCACTGCAATGAAATGTGTAAGCATCAATGTAGATTTCCTTCCAAATATTGAATGGATGTACATTTAGCAAATTTAGAGTGTTTGAAATGAGCAATTTATTAGGTTTATCAACTTTTCATTTTATGTGAAAAACTTGTGCTTTCAATAGACAAAATCATCCAAGATACCTTTCTCTAACACTGAATCTAATCAGTGAATCTAATAAGTTGTTTGAACTTCTTTTAATTAAATTATCTGTGCTCAATAGCTATTAAAAGCATCCCTTTGTCCAATTGTAGCAAAATGTTGTAAATGAGCAATTTAGTAAAGTGTGTAACAAAATGTCTAAACAATAACCTGGTTATATAAAAGTATGTCAAAGACCCTTCTTTGATATTATCAGAAACCATTCTCAATGAAGAGAGCCTAGCTGTGATATATGGCCACTATGTCACTGGATCAAGAGTTGCACACAACCCTAATGGGCTTTTATTTCACACAAAATATCATAGGCTGTCCCCTGACCTCACTAGATGAAATTGCTAGGACTCGATGTCTTAGCAGGACGAGGAAAATCCTCAGGGATGATTCACACCTTGGTCAGCACTTCTTTACACTCCTACCATCGGGCAGGAGATACAGAAGCATAGCCAGTGGAATGAACAGGCTGAAAAATAGTTTCTATCCGTGGGCTGTCAGACTTCTGAATACAACAT